TTTTTTTTTTTAGATTTGTGTGTTTGAGAGAGAGAGAGAGAGCGCGCAAGCAAGCATGAGCAGGGGGGAGGGCAGAGGGAGAAGCAGGCTTCCCCCCGAGCAGGGAGCCCGATGCAGGGCTCGATCCCAGGACCCCTTGATCATGATCTGAGCCGAAGGGAGATGCTTAACCAATTGAGCCACCCAGGCGCCCAAAAACATCTTTTATCCAACACTGTGGCAAGTGACACAAAACACCTAGGGGCCCTGGGCTGCATGCAGTTTGCAGCCCCTGGACTAACTGTGCAACCGGGCCTTGCTCTTTCTGAGGCTGTGTCCTGGTCCCTGACCTGGGCATGGTAACCCCTCTGTGGGAGTTAGCACGGCAGGACAAGACAGCTCGGGGAGCTGAGACACAGAGCCGGCGGGGGGGAAAGGCAGGCAGGAGGCCTGGAGGGTCCCCGGGCTCAGGCGAGGATGGGGTTCCAAGGCTTAGGGCCAAAGTGGGGAGTTGGGCAGGGACGGGAGGGCACGGCCAGGGCAGGTGGAGCCCAGAGCACAGATGGCAAGGGGCTGCCTGCACATGCACCGGGTGTCATTGCATGGACATTCGGGGCACGTACCTCCCAGCAAGTGAGAGCAGCATTACCAAAGGCTCAATGTCATTGTCCCCACTTAGAATCACCGCCACTTAGGAGCACTTACTGTGTACCAAGCGCGTTAAGAGCTTGGTCCCATGTAGTCCCTCCAACAACCCTGTGAAACACGCATTACTACTATCTACCCCAGAGATGAATACACTGAGAGGCTGGGTTGCTCGCCTCTAACAGGAACATTCGTGGAGCACATCCTCTGTGCTAAGCACCTCACGCACCTTATTCCACACGGTCCTCATTGTAGCTCCTCCTCAGAGATGCCCCCACCCAGAGCCTCACCTCCTAAGGTTCATGCTTCATGCGGCCCCTTCACCTTGAATGTGGCCCATCACTTGCTCTCGACCAACAGAATGCATCAGAAGTGACAGCGTGACTCCTGAGGCAAGGTCATAAAATAAATTTGTAGCTTCTGCTCGGATCTCTTGGAATGCTTGCTGCCAGCAAGAAGCCGCTCCTGCTGACAGCCTAGCTGAGCCCCCAGCCCCCAGAGGGTACCCACAGCCAGTGCTGGGAGGGGCCAGCTAGGACACCCTGCCCGGCCACACCCCAGATGATGCCACCCTGGCCAACATCCCACTGAAGCGTCAGGGAAGACCCTGAGCAAGGACAACCTAGCTAAGCCCGGTCAACCCACTACACCATAAAAGAAAATAACACATTTTTGTTTTAGGGTGATGTGTTCTAAATGAAGAGAACACTGACACACTACTTGCAAGAGCCCCATAAGTAGAAACTCAGGCCATCCCCATTTTACAGATGAGGATACTGAGGCACAGGGAGGCTGAGTGACCTGGTGCGAGTCCATGGCTGGCGAGGGTCAGGGTGGGGGTCTGCTCCCAAGCTGTCTGATTCCTCTGGTGTCAACCACACCTCCACGCTGCCGGCCCACAGTGGCCCAGCCATGCACGTCAGGGTAAGGTTTGAGCCAGGCTGTCTGATTCCCAACCAAGGAACCTTCTCCTTCCTGTGCAGGTGTTCCTCCCAGAAGCTGGTGCCCAACTTCAGCTGGGCATCTCTGATCCCCCAACCTCCCAAGCCCCCGAGGCCTGTTTTGCTCTGCTGGGCGGGGAGACAGAGGCCGACAATGTCTGGCCTCAAAGCTGGTCTCCTCTCTGGTGCCTGGGGTGGGGACAGGGGTGGTGTCGGGGCCAGAATTTTGACAAATGGCCTCACACATATTAAACAAGAGAAATGACACTGCACAGCCCTGGCAAGGCCCCAAAAGCAAGGGATGAAAAATGGGGCTGATCCATCTTGCAGGCTTCGGTGACAAGAAGAAATGGATCAGCCCTAATAGGGGCCGCACGTTGGGCTCCGGCCTTAAATAAGTCAAATGAAAATGAGGCCAGCCCCAAGGGAGGAGGAGAGCAGGGCAGGCGGCCCCCGGCTTTCAGGGAAAGAAAGGTTCCTGTGGCCGACACCAGCAGGCTGGGTTTTAGATGCTGAGTGCCAGGGTGGAGAACTAGGGGCTTCTAGAGAGGCCTATGGAAGGAGGAGGCTCAGAATCCTATTACCACTTAAGGCTATGGGACCCTGGGTGGGTGATCCAACCTTTCTGAGCCCTGGTTTTCACACATGCAACATGCCGGTTTTGCATATATTAAGTTCATATTAATAATGGTAATATTAGAAGGGCTAGAGCCTGGGGCGTCTGGGTGGCTCAGTCAGTTAAGCGCCAGACTCTTGATTTTGGTTCAGGTCATGATCTGAGGATCAAGAGATCAAGCCCCACATTGGGCTCCGCCCTCGTACTTAGTGTGAGTCTACTTGAGATCCTCTCTCTACCTCTCCCTCTGCCCTTCCCCCTGCTTGTGTGCTCTCTAAATAAATAAATCTTTTAATAAAAAGGGCTGAAGTTTAAGAGCCCTTATGTGTCAAACAGGGTGCTAAGCACATCTACAAACTGTCTTTGTATTACCCCATTCTCAGAGAGACACAGTACAGAGGTTGAGGGTGCGGGCTCCAAGGCCAGACCGCCTGGGTTCAGATCCCCGCTCTGCCGCTCAGCAGTCAGATAGCCTGGATAAGTGACTTGAGTTCCCTGTGCCTCAGTTTCCTCTCCAGGAAGTACCCACCCCATAGCATTGTTACGATGACAATATACCAGTGCTCAATACACAGCAGAGATTATTACACACGTGCTCAACACTCCAAGATGTTCATTCCTTTCCTTTGTCCCCTTCTCTAGCTCAGAGGACCAACTGCCAAGGTCAAGAGCTCAGGCAAGAACTGCTAGAAGGAGGGAAGCATTGAATAAAATGGAACCAGAACCTTAGCTGGTTTCCCTGCGGTCTTTCCACTTCAAACGATCAGGGGTGGTATTGGAGGGTCCAGGTCGCTTTAAGGCAGATGACTTTACAGGGGTGGGGCCAAGGAGAGAGTAGGAAGGGGCTTAAATCAGCAGGAGTCCCCACTGGTCTGAAAGGGGGCTCTTTCTGAGTTGGAGCCCTTTCTGCTCCACTCTGACCATCTTCCTCCAAAGTCTCTGTACCTGCTGTCCCCCTGCCCAGCACACTATCTTATTCCCTCCTCCACCAGTCTGCCTGACCACATTTTCCCCAGAGGACCCTCCCTGCCCGAAGCTGGGTCTATGACCCCCCCCATCCACATGATAGCTTGTTTACTTGTCTCAATTGCCTGTTACAACAGTGTCTTGGCCACTGCTGTGCCCCCAGCACCTAGGAGAGTGGCTGTCCCCAAGTAAGCATTCGGTAAATGCCTGTAAAATGACTAAGTGGATAAATGGTCCCCAGCCACCAGAAGCAGACCTGCAGACCCTGGACATCTGTGGTCACTGTCTTTCCAGCATGCACTCCTTCTTCTGATGACCCCCCCCACTCCCAATTTTCCACTGGGGGCCTCTCCTCCTCCTCTCTTTGTCCAAGGGTTTGGGTGGGGCCAATCCCTCCTCCTTGACCTTGTAATCAAGTCAGACCAATTAGAGCAGTCCAGTCTCCTCAGGGTCTAAATCACTGGTCATGGGATGGACACATGCCTTAAGCTAATCCAATGAAAGCCTTAACCAGGATTGGCTGGAAATATTGGGAAGAGGCCCCATCTCTCTGCTGGTGTTGCTACATTTGTAAAATGTGAGCCTAGACCTGGGCTTGGTGACCCTCTTTGCTTAGGGAAAAGTTGCTTGTGAATGAAGCCAACCAACACAAAGGGAACAGAGACAGGAAAGTGGGGAGGGGAGACTGCCTCAGCTACTGATGAATCACCTGATCACCTGGATCCAGCGGTGCCTGAAGCAGACGTTCTGGTAGCTCACCCAGCATCCATTCCACCCACTTGCCATTTGTGAGCTTTTGGCTCACTCCTGACTCCAGAGATGAGTGTGGGCAAGCTGAGCCAATAAGCTCATGACATTCCCTCAGCTGTGGTGATGATTCAGGAGAGAGAAAATGACCTAAGTTGGGCTCATCAGAAGGAGGCTTGGGACTTTAGTCAATGTTGGGAAAAGAGAAGCCCTTTCTTCCCCTGTATGTGAAGGAAGAAGCAGCAGCCTCAGGAGCAGCTTTCTTACCACCAGGAGGGAAGCCCTCCCAGGGACAGGGTTAACATGTGCAGATGATCCTTGCGGAAGAGCAATCAGTCCTAATGACGTCAGAGACTCTGGATCAAACGGACCCTGAAGTCCACAACACAACTGCCCCTTCCACTTACAGGAACCAGCGTGTTTCCGTATTGCTGGGAGTGACGGGGATGGACTTTTCTGTTACAACACAAGGCACCCTAGCTGATCCTCCTGGACTTTTCTGTTACTTGAGCTAATACACATTCTGTGTTTCCTTACATGTGGGAGTCTATTGCCGATCCTGCCTTTCTTTGCACATCTAGCCTAGCAGACCTCCCAGGGCCCCGACGGCCTGCCAGCTTCTTTCTCCCCCTTCCAGAGTGGCCTGTGTGGCAGGGTCGGCAAACTTTCTCTCTAAAGGGCCGGGTAGTAAATATTTTAGGCTTTGTGGGCCACTGAGTGTCGGTCACAACCACAACTCTGCTGTTGTAGCAGGAAAGTAGCCATAGACAACAGTAAACCTAAGTGTGGCTCTGTCCCAATAAAACTTGATTTACGGACACTGAAATTTGAATTCCGCATAATTTTCACACATCGCAAAATGTTCTTCTTCTTTTGGTTTATTTTCCAGCATTTCAACGTGTAAAAACCATCCTTAGGATGAGGGCTGCGTAAAAACAGGTGGTGGGCCACATTTGGCCCACGGGCCATAGTTGGCCAACCCCAGCATTAGGGTCTCAAAGTGCCTTTGGACGCCGGGCTAGCTACCTTTGCCTTCTTCTGCCCTTCTCCCCCGAGCTGGGCCAAGCTGCTAAAGTCCCAGCATGCTGGAGGTCAAAGCCACTTACCAGAAGGACCACCCGTAGTCCCAGGAGTGGGGTCTCCAGTCTTCAGGGCCGAGGCTCACAGTGACCTGGAATACTTGCGTGTACATCATGTGGGCTACCATTCCCAGGAGGCCTGTGGGGGGAGCAGAACAAGGGGTCAGGAAGCCAGGTGGGGCTCTGTCCCCCTTTGTCCCGTGGGCCTGTTACTGTTGGGGGACAGCGTGGAAGGAGAAGGGCCATCGGCAGGACCAGAGCAGGGAAGCCAAAGGAGGGCACTTTTCTCAGCCAGCCAAGGAGCTTGAGTTTGAGCGAGAGGGCCAAAGGCAGGCCTGGAGAAATTAAACAAGGGAGACACAGAGTCAGTTCTGGGCACAGATGGACACGCTTTTTCTGTTAAGTACCAGATACGTAGATACTTTATGGTCTGTGGTCCATGCGGCGTCTGTTGCAACTACTTCTCCACTGCTGGAGAGCCATAAACAATACATAAATGGATGAGTATGGCTGTGTACCAATAAAACTTTATTTACAAAAACAAGCACTGGGCCAGAGTTAGCCCATGGGCTATCGTTTGCTGATGCCTATATTAGAAGGTCATTTGGGAGAAGCAGCCTAGAGGGTATTTTTCAAACTGTAGATCTGGATTCACTAGACTAGTGGGTCATGAAATCAACTTCACTGATTGCCAGCAGTAAAAAAAAAAAAAAAAAAAAAAAAAAAGCAATAAGAATGGAATGGAATAGAATAGGCATATCTGATACCATCAAGTATAACAAGAGTGAATATTGTTTTATGAAACTTTTCAGTTCTATGCATATGTCTGTGTGTGTGGTGACTGAAACATGAAATGATTTTCTATGGCTCATGGTCAAAACTCTTTGAGCCCCACTGGCCGGGAAGACTGGGAATCCTCTTTCTCCACGTTTTCGCCATGTGGCGCGGGGCAAAGCTTCACTCTCCGAGCTTCATTCAAATCTCTGAACCCTAAGATGAGGACTGTGACTGGTAAGGTGAAGGGTAGGTAAAGGAGGAGAGGCAGCTTCGGTGTTGGTGCCTAGGGGGCATGTAGCAGGATTATTCCAACCCTGGGGGCCTTTCTCCGTGTGGACCATGGTATCTGGAGCCCTCATGAACCTAACCCTAAGATAGAGTGATACGATATTGAGGAGGGAAGGGGTAGATAACAAGAAAGGAAAGCAATCATGCTTGTGCACCTGCTGTGGGCTGAGCACCCTGTGTTATTACCTCTTACTTTTCATAACCACCCTCTAAAGTATCATGAGGTACCACAATCAGGACTATGTACCATTGTTCAGGCTGCCCACTGCACATCTCCATAGGGTCCATTCACAATGCAGTCTATGTGCATGGTCCCTCCCTGGAGTTGAAGCAGAACCATGCCTGCAAGGCTGTATATGGCAGCCCTGCGTATGAGTGTTCCCATTTCACAGGTGAGAAAACAGGAGCCTAGAGTGGTAAAGCCTGTCCATGGTCACGAAGGGAGTCACTGGTGTCGTTGTGACTGGTGCCCAGATCCAAATGCCCTCAACTCCAGGGCTCTTCCCATGATGCCCAGCATGTGTCTGTCCTCCCCTTGTTGCCCGATCACCCTCTCCCTTCTTCTTGAAGAGGAGGCAAGAAGAAAGATGGAGATAAGGGTAGCAGAGGTGGAGGTTAAGCAGAGACAGAAACAGAGGGGGCGGGGCTCTGCATCCTGGAACCCAGTGTGGGGAGTGGAGGGAGGGGGCCATCCTGTGTTCCCACAGTGTGAAGATAAATGTTTAACAACTGGTTCTCCAGAGGGAAAAGAAAAGCCCTGATCTGTAGCATTTGCCAAGTTCCATTGTGCAACGACTTGCACTATGGCCGATCTCAATCTACCAACGTGATGTCCCCGAAAGCAGAGCACAGCAGAGGCGCTCACAAGCTGGTGCCAACAGGCTCCAGCACACCTCTGGGTCTCACTCCAGTCCCTGGACCCCGGGCCCAACGGAGACCACGGATGCAGAGGTGGCTGTCTGCGTCTCTGAGCCTGGGTCAGCCCCCCATGGACACTTGTCACTATTCTCCGACCGCAGATGCGGGCTGGCAGGGAGCTCTCAAGTCAGGAAATCCAGGGAGAAATCCAGGCACCATGACAGGTGCCGAGGCCCCCACAGGAGCCTTGTAAAGGTCTAGCCTCCTCCAGGCTGTCCCTGCCAGGCCCGAGTACATCCTAGACTGCATCTTTAGTTGTGCCCTGGCAGGTGGCGCAGAACTGTCCCGGGCTGTCACACCCAACAACAGCATGCTCTCTGGTCCTCTCTGCCCTGGCTCAGTCTATTAGAAGGAGGAGAAGAATGGTGAGCCATATGGAGATCTTATTTTTCTTTACTTGAAAAATTCTGGGTGAACTTGCCAAGAGGTACATAACAGATATACCTTATTCTTTGGAACCGATGCATACGATTCCTTAATAACGAAGTACCATGTTTTATTTATCCAATCAATTGACAGTTATACTAAGTTATTTCCAGCTTTTTGCTCTACAAGCAATAATACTGAACACCTTTCCGCAAGTCTTTTTGTGCTTACAAGCAACTATTTCTCCAGAGGGAATAGTAAGAATTGCTGGGCCATAAAGCGTACGTATTTTAAATTTAAGTCAATGTTGGAGAATCGCGATCCTGCGTGGTAGCTCTGTCTTGTGCTTCTGCCAGCTGTCTGGGAGTCCTTACCCAAATCTTCACCAACACTGGAGATTCTAAAACGTTAAATACTGTCATTCTTTTATGACGCAGAATGACACTTCAACATTGTTTTAAGTTTTGGGTTTCCCTCATTACTAGTGAGCTTGGGTGTTTTTCACGTGTTCATTGACCATTCCTACCACTGTCTGTATCCTTTGTCAATTTCTTCTTTTTCTAAAAAAGAAAAAAATATTTTCCATTATCAACTGGTAGGAATTCTTTATGTATTCTGGATACTAATCCTGTCTGTTGTGTAGACTACCGAGAGTTTAGTGCTTGCCTTTTCCCATGTACTGGACATCTTTTTGTTTTTTAATTAATAGACTTTGGTCTTTAGAGCAGTTTTAGGTTTACAGAAAAAGCGAGGGGAACTTACAGAGAGGTCCCCTGTGCCCCCCAGTCGCCACTCCCACAGTTTCCCATATGATTTACATCTGCCATCAGTGTAGGACGTTTATTACAATTGACAACCCAATACTGATCCAGGATTATTAACTAAATTATTAACTAAATTAAACTATTAACTTAGTTTACATTAGGGTTTTCTTTGTGTTGTACAGTCTATGGATTTTGATCAATCTTTGGTGACACGTATCCACCATTACTGTGTCGACTAGTTTCACAGCCTTAAAAATCCCATGTTCCACCTACTCATCCCTCCCTCCCTCCCACCTTACTGAACTCCTGGCAACCACTGATCTTTTTACTGCCTTCACCGTTTTGCCTTTTCCAGAATGTCATATAGTTGGAATCATATGGTGTGTAGCCTTCTCAGATCGGCTTCTCTCACTTACTAATATACATGTAAGGTCCCCCCCCACGTCTCTTCATGGCTTTTTAGCACCGAATGATGTTCCACTGTCTGGACACATCACACATCACTCACCTGTGGGCCATCTACCTGCTGAAGGACATCTTGGTTCCCTCCAAGTTCTGGTAATTATGATAAAGCCGCTTTTCTCATACATTTTGGTATTTGATATCGTCAAATTTACCAGGCTTTTCTTTTTTGGTTTTCACTTCCTGTGTCTACTTTTAGAAAAGCAGCACCGTCAGGGGACCTGGGGGACTCAATAGGTTAAACATCTGCCTTTGGCTCAAGTCATGATCTTCAGGGGCTGGGATCAAGCTCCACATCTTCAGGCTCCTGGCTCAGTGGGGAGTCTGCTTCTCCCTCTCCCTCTGCCCCTCCCCCTGCTCTTTCTCTCAAATAAATAAAAATCTTAAAAAAAAAAAAGCTTAGAAAAGCAGCACCATAAACACACGGTCTTATATTTTTATATTAATTCACCCAGAATTTATCTTGGTGAATGGTGTTAACTGTTTCTAATGAGTAGCTAATTGTTTTGAATCCTTATAGAATGACCTGTTCTTTCTCCACTGACTTTTTTTTTTAAGATTTTATTTATTTATTTATTTATTTATTTATTTATTTATTTATTTATTTGAAAGAGACAGAGTGAGAGAGGGAGCACGAGCAGGGGGAGGGGGAGAAACAGACTCCCCCTGCCGAGCAGGGAGCCCGACGCAGGACTTGATCCCAGGACTCTGGGATCATGACCTGAGCCAAAGGCAGTCGCTTAACTGACTGAACCACCCAGGTGCCCCTCTCCACTGACTTTAAAAGACACTGATATTCCAACCCCCACATGTATACGAGTCTGTGTCCTAATGTCCCTCTGTTCCTGTGTCAATGCCACAGTTTTAGTCCTTCTAACTCACAGGAGAGTCTGTCAGCTGGGAGGACAAGCCTCCCCTCCTCACTGCCCAGTGCTCATTCCCCCTGGAACTGATGCCCTACCCAGAAGCTTTGTGCCTTTGGTGGGGTCCCGATCCCTTCCTGAGCCCCCTCCCCAGTCCCTTTCTGGGGGAGGGGGCCTTGCTCTCCAAACACTCCACTGTTCTAACTTGTTCAGTTCCTTTTGCATCATGCCAGTCCAGATGCTCTCCGAGTTCTGTGACCTCTGGGTGCCTTGGTTTTCTCATCTATAAAATGGGGATATTAGTAGACATAGGTAATTCTAATGAGCATCTACTAAAGAAGGAGTACTTTCATGAGAACAACTACTCCTTGTTTTAGGGCAGTGGGAACATAACGAAGACTCCTCACTAGACCCAGAAGCCAGAGCCAGCCTGTTGGCAGAATAATTAATTTTCCAAATTGTTAGTTTGAAAAAGCATTGATTTCTCAATCGAATTCCATTTACTCCCAAATACGAAAGGCTGTGCTTTAAGAAAATGACAATTCACTCAAAGATAGGCTGGTGGGAGTCTCTGATTGCATTTTGAAGATTCTCCTTTAAAAACCCGACCCTTGCCCGTGTTTCTGGAAGCACGTCTGTTCTGCAAAGGAGGTCCATGGTAGCATCTGTCATACAAACCCTCCGCAGAAGGAACTGTTTCC